TTTGTCAAATACTTCTGTAGGAATCTACTTTGCATCACTATTTGCTTCTCCCTTCATCTTGTAAAGAAACTAGAGAGGATGTTTTTTTAAGTCTGTGGTTATTTAAAGTTAAGGGAGAAAATTTCTGAATGAGAGCAAAGACCTGTCCATGGAGCTGGCCACATTCCCACAAACAGCAGCCTAGGGTAAAACCACAGCTCAGCATCACTGTCCACAATTTCCCAGAGAGATGGATTTTTATTTTTCCCTGAAGTGCTCTAGTCATTAAAGATTCTCTCTTGAATACCTCTTGAAAAATCTGTTTTTTTGGGATGTATTGCTGCTTCTTGCCCCTTACCTGCGCTCCGTCTGTGGGCCCAAGATCCTGCAGGGTTTGCGGTACACGTTCTCGGTGGACTGGTGGTCCTTCGGGGTGCTGCTGTACGAGATGCTGATCGGCCAGTCCCCCTTCCATGGGGACGATGAAGATGAACTGTTCGAGTCGATCCGAGTGGACACCCCTCACTACCCACGCTGGATTACCAAGGAATCAAAGGATATCTTAGAAAAGGTAGGACTGATGATCCTTGGGGTCCTGGTACTGTCTCTGTGCAGGCAGAGACAAATCTCCTAATAAGGGAGCTGTTATCAGCAAATTGCTCTTACCAAGGGAAAGCCAGGGCAGATTAATCCCTAATGCTCTATTTGCTGTCAGCACCCTTAGTTGTTTTAGCACCATACCTGTAATTCTTCCACTGCCATGTAGCTTTGGAGCAGCTCTTTACTGGGTGTCTTCTCGTGCAGCTCTTTGAAAGGGATCCAGCAAAACGACTTGGGGTCACTGGGAATATCAGAGACCATCCTTTCTTCAAAACAATCAACTGGACAGCACTAGAGAAGAGGGAGGTGGACCCTCCCTTCAGGCCAAAAGTGGTAAGTGGGCTGTTCTTTGTTCTTAGTAAACAGCAGCCCAGGGGTAAGGGGTGAATTCTGTACCTGCACAAAGGATCCCACTGCCATCTCCTCACATTTTACAAATGAGAAAGTTATGTATCCGTAAGCCCGCTGTTCTTGGATGGTTCAGTTATACTCCTCTGACTGCCTTGAGATCTTCCTGCTAAGACTGCCTTCCTATTGCTCCCAAGGAGCTTTATGAATAAAATGTTCAGCAAAACCAACAGATAGCTTTGATGTCCCTCTGCACTGCAATGTTCACAGTTCCTCGCAGAACTTTGCTTTTCTGAAATGCCACATGGGGAGGAGCAGCAGTAGCTCCAGGCTGCTCAGCTGCTACCTACTGCAGGCACTCTGTGCAAGCATTAAATCTCTGCTGCTTCAAACTCACCCAGGCATCTCCAAGGGGGCAAGAAGCAGCATTCTCTAAGCTACTGAACTTGGACTCTCTGTACATGCCTGATGTTACCTGGAAAAGCACCTGTAGAACAGACTGTAACTCAGTCTGTATCACAGTGGGATGATGCTGCTTCAACTCACATGGTTAAAAACCCAAACCAGTGTTTCTCCAGCCTGTTCCTAAAACAGGCAGCAGTGTCTTTAAAATGTACTCTATGGAGGAGAGCTGTCTCCTTCAAACACACAAGGTTTTGTGTTGCTTGTTCCCCGAGAAGTGGGAAATCTTTGGTGGTTTAGAGTTTGTAGTTACATGAATATTCATTAAACACAAAACAGCTGCTACAGGGCATTGTTTTATTCTCTGAACAAGTACAGCCTGTAAAATGTTCTCAGGAATTTAAACATTTTGGTTAATGGCAAGAAGTGTTGATCTGATGTGTGAGTTAATGCTGCATTGCTTTTGTCAACAGATAATCTCTGGGTAATAACCCAGTGTTATCCCAAATCCAGGTTTCATCTGCAAAGCAACCTGGGGTTTGGGTTTTCTGTTGGTTTCCAATGAACAATACGAAAGTGCCCAGTTACAGTCTTATAGTCTTGTTAAAATAGGTTAAAATGAGATTTTTTTTTCTCTAAAGCTGGGGAAGGAGGGAGGGAGCTAAAAGACTAACTTCACAAGATTTTGTATTTAATTAATTTGTTCTTGAAGAAATACAAAGTTTGTCTCCAACTGTCTTCCCTCTCTAATACAGAAATCAGCAAATGACTACAACAACTTTGACAGAGAATTTCTGAGCGAGAAGCCAAAACTGTCTTACAGTGACAAAAACCTGATTGAATCCATGGATCAGTCTGCATTTGATGGATTTTCTTTTATTAACCCAAAATTTGAACAGATCTTGACCAAGTAGGTCTCTGAACAGCTGGACTTTAAAGCAGGGTTACAAACCAGACTCCCAAGTGTTAATGCATTCCAACGACGTCGATACTTCAGATTAATACACAGTAGTGTGATTAATTATGTTCCAACTCCTGATTTATTGGCAGTGTTTTTATGCATGGTTGGGTTTAAGGTATGTGAATCACGTGCATTATTTTCTCTGTTTGGGAAAATGTAAATTCTATTTGGTACTTGAACATAGTTATGTTATATATATATATGTGCTGTATATTTTGCTCGAGAGAAGACATTGGGGGACAAAGATGTCTTTTTAAAATGTGTTTGAGCCCTTGGTTCTTTTATTTGTCTTCAATTAAAAGAAAGTTTAATGTAACTTTCACTCGTGGCTCTATGGTATTTAACAATATACAATTTAACTCCAGTGGTCTTTAAAGCACAGGGGAAAAATAATGCTTGGTCAGCCCTGATCACTCACTTAAAATACTTGTTCTTGTGAATTAAACAAAAGGAAGTGTCAGGAGAAAGCAGAGATTCCTAGTGTAACACCAGCTGCTGTGGGAAGCAGCTCAGGGATGCTTTTGCTGAATAAATAAATTTATTCCAAGACAGTCCAAGCGTGAGACAAAGAGGCCTCAGCATCCCAGAGCAGCCCCATCCTGCCTGGAAATGTGGGGTTCTGCCACTAAATGCCACTTTCCTGCTAGCAGCCACCACATTCACAGCAGGACAGAACCCAGGTAATGACTGTAGAGTTACTTGCCTGCTCTGCCTGAGGAATTATTCTGTTTAACTGCCAAACACAAAATCCTTCTTCCAGTTTTATTTGCTTGTTTGTAACACAGCAGTTGTGGCTCCTCCTGCTTGCTGTTAGAAGGGCACAAAACCAGATCCTGCTGTCTTGCAACACCTACTTCTGAATTTTGTTTTTTAGCCCTTAGAGAGAAAGAAAATCTGATATAATTACTTGCAAAGCTCCTTCCAAAAGCTTTGCCTTGCAGTCAGCTCATAAAATTCAGGCTGAAGCAAGGTTTCTTTCTTTCTCAGGAGCTTTCTGTATCTACTAACACTATTGCAAATGATTTTTCTCAACACTGAGCAGGCAGAAGAAATGTACATGTGACAGTTCAAGAGTTATGGAATGCTACAGAACTCTTAGGAGCACCCTGCAGCTTCTGGGTAATTTCAGACTGCTAATCCTGCTGAAAGAGCAGCAGAAAGCTGTAATACTTTGTAGAGATTAAAAAAAAAAATACAGTGCTGCCCTTGTTCAGCCTATGAAGAACAGCTCTAGCTTATTGTTACACTCAAGAAATGCCAGCATGACTCGGATGCCATCCGAGCCTGCAGCAGACCGAGCTGGAAGGGGCAGAACACAGCTGGCACTCCCAAACAGCCAGGGCTGGCCTGCTGAACAACCCCAGGCCAAGGGGAACCAGCACTGCCCTGCACTGTGCTGCAGGGAGAGCAGGAACCTGGGCTTTCCCCTTCACATAACCTACACAGGCACTCCTGCTTTTGCACATTTGTCACCAGAAAGTGATTCTGCTTTCCAAGGTGAGTGCTGTGGTGCTGCACCTGAGCAGAAATGCATTTCTAGGTAAGGAATTCCAAATGTGGGTACCAGCAGCAGTGGGTATCTGCACACAAAGAGGCTGTTATGAACTACAAGTAGTAGTAAATATTCCCTGTGGGAACACTGGCTCCCTGTACTCACCTGCTTTGCTCTGGAGTAGCAAGTGCCAGATCTGCTCAGGAGGCTTCACACAGCAACTCTTCCAGCTGGCAGCTGCCTGATGTACCAGGAGCATCTCCTGCTGCCACAGCTGTGCCCGACAGCACTCGTGCCATGGGGGCACAGATCCCTTTCCTCTGCAGAGCAGCTACTCCACCCCTCCTGCAGCCCCTGCCCTGCACCACTGTTACCTGTGTTACAGGACAGGCACAAAAGCTCCTCTACCTCCCCTGCAGAACTGCTGCAGCCAGGGCAACCTGTGAGCACCACCTGGTTTCACTCACCCATCGGCTCTGGGTCATCCTCATACTAGAGAAGTTTCAGCTATTCAAGGATTTTGTCCAGAAAACAGCCTAAAAGCTCTAAAACAAAGAAAAAAGTTACCTGCTCCCCAAACAGAAATACACAGTGGAGTTAAAAAGCAATTAAAACACTCCTCCCACCTAGCAGAGAAGAGACAAGTGGTTACCACTTGGGGGGCTGCAATCAGCAAGACATGAAAATGTGAGTACATAATTCTAAAAGCACAAAGCAGTAATTAATTTTGTCCCCGTCATTCTGAAGGATAAGTACCTCTGCAAATGCAATGCCCTCCAGCTCCCCTCTGCATACAAACTTGTACTGACAGGCAGTATTTGGCTGTTGCGTTTCAGCTTTCTCAAAACACCAGCAGCATGTTCAAGACAATGTAAGAACAGTGGAGCTCTGAGAGGGTGGAGCAGATCTTAATCCCAGTGACCAGGTAAAGCTAATAAAGTCTTACCTTTCCCCTCCATCATGTGCAAATCCTGGCATGCATTTATTTAACCAGTTCTTCCAACTTCTTCCTCTATTATTGAGCTTCCTACTTAAATCACAGTTACTTGTCACAGTAAAGCAACCACAAGGTGAACTAATGTAATCCTTACATTTCTATCTAAGCTCCCTAAACGCAGCTTGTGGGAGCTGTGGAACCCTGCTGAGGCTCAGGAACACTCACCTGGCACTTCAGCCACTGGGAGGGGACATGGAAAGAAACACACACCATGCACCTGGTAGCATTTGATCTTTATTACTGGGATGAAAGGTCAAATTATTACATTTGTCTGAAAGATCACAACAAAGGCCAACGATGTAAGAAAGGACAGTTTAATCCCAGTTGAGAGACTGCATCTGAGCCAGGCACACACGAACAGAGGCAGTCAAATGGTACAAACGCAGAAGGTCAGGACAAGGGTTTTCCCCTCCCCTGTCAGTGACTGTTCTGTCAGGAGTGGGGACACACACTTACAGAAAGTGACAATTAACTGCAAATCTTAACTGTGCCTTCCCAGAGCAGCAGTTAGGGTTACACCCTGGGAGAACCCACCACTCCAAATCTACATTCAGCTCAAATCTACATTCATCATCTACACCTGCTCTCTCCAGTCCGTCAGATGCAGTCACTGATTTAGTACCTTCCTACTGTAGAACCAACAACTTCATTTTTTTTTTCTCTTCAAGTATCAGCACAATAGTTTATTTACACTTCTATACAACTCTTTACTGAACACCCATTGTAGTAAAACACTCATCACAGAATATTTGAAAGCAGGCTATAAAAATACCTACTGTACATAGAACATGTAGCCTGGAGGATGTTACAGCACCTCTGACAGATCAGAGAGGTAAAACAAAGGGGGAGAGGAGACACTTCAAGCTGTGTTCACCAGCAAAGAGAAGCAACTCTGGGCTCAGCTCTCACTGGGGAAAACATTTCTACCCAAAGTTCTTCAGACAGGTCTGAGCTCACAAACTGCCAGTAAAATCCCACTTTTCTAATGCAGCCTCCTGGGAATTTTACAGATAAATCCTGACATTCTCAGTGTAAAAACTGCTTTACCACCCCTCCTGTCCCAGCAGAGGAGCGAGGGCTGCCTGGGGCACAGCCTAGCTTTCCCACACCACAGTGGGAGGGGGAATTGCTCCTTCAGTTGTGCCACAAAGGTGGCCTTGTTAACCACACATCAATGAATTCACTCCTCTGAGCAGTGCCAGGCAGGCTCTCTCCTCACCCCACAACTACGGGCACAGCTGAATTAATAAAGGTCTGAAATGGCATTACCATAACACACACACACAAAGCTTTAGACAGCAGCGCTTGAAGCAAGTATTCTGGTCATTCTGCACCCTACACACTCCTCCTCTGAAACAGAACCCAGCAATGCACTATGGCTTACTTCCAAGAGCTGAATATATTGCTGAATTTAGCTTATTTTTAAAAAAAAAAGTAATCACAACAGCAGCACATTATTTTATAAACCCTGCACGAACAAAAGACAATTTAGCCCTTGCCCGCAAAACTATGTTACCAGGGCCTGGTATTTCACACAGGAATTCAGGAAAGAAAAAAAACAAAACAACAAAACAACCCCACCAATTCACGTGGTAAAAGCTCAATTAATTGGAGAGAATCCTTAGGAAAAACACAGTTCAACTACCAAAGAATAGTTCTCCTCATTGCAGAGCTAGAGCCAGCAGCAGTGCTGGCAGCTCATTTCAGTTGTCTGGTAACATACATACAAAATACACTTTGATTTAGTACAGTTAAAAGGTTTTGACTTTGACAGACACAGAAAATTCCATTTTTAGCACTGGAGTTTCACTAGGCATAAAAGAGCAACGAAGAATTGGGATGATGGAAGGTGCTTAAAAAACAATACAAAAAACTCCAAGGCAAGTGTGCCCTGTTAAAATTATTACAGAATTTACGTGGTGTTTTTGTTGCATGAGCTATTTAGAATGGTTAAACTCACCTAACCTTTCTGTACTGTTTCCTGATGTACGTATTAAATGTGGCTATAAAAGAGAAACATATACTTTTATGTTGAAATTCATTCCAAAAATTCTCTAAAAATATAAAGACAACACTAACAAGACATGCAACTTTTCTAGCCCTTGACTGAATCCTTTTCCCCTCCCTTCCAGACTCAGAAAAGCTGCTCATCCCCTCCCATAACTGCAGTAGGAAGGATGTGTCTCTCTCCATTCATTCCCCCGCTGTCACTCACACCCATGTCCCCACTGCCCTCCAAAATACACCTGGTCTCAGGAAAGTGTTAAAATCTCGCTAAAAGAGCAGAATTTCCCAGGTAGCAAATCCAGCTTTAATACTTTGATTTTCCAAAGGGAACATCTCTCTTGTGAATTTCAGAAAAATTCTAAGTTGTGGCTGGCAAACCAAAGTTCAATTTAAAACATAGGACCAAAGTGCAATTTAAAACAGAGCTGATGGGCATCCCCATTTAAAGGAGCTTTGTAATATGAAGCCTCCAGTGCTCAAAATGTAGAATTTTGCCCATGTTAAATTCGTCATCAAAAACCTCCATGTAATTCTAGGCAATCATTCACAGTAAAAATAAGAGAACTCTTAGAAAAAACACTTACAAAAGAAAATAAAATCTAGTTAAAATCTGACAGTAAAATCAACATGGGCAATTAACCACTTTGCATTATCCACAAACAGTAAAAACTCACTGAAACTGCACAAATTTACATGAGAAAAATCTAAAACTCTGCTCTGCTCCCCACAATCTTTTTCACTGATACCTTTTGAGTCATCCACAAGCACAGGTTTTGTCCAAAGGAGCAGAATCACATTCGAAATGTCTCCAAGGGAAGGGGAGGCGCGTCCATCCCGCCCTGCTCCGACACCGCCGGGCCCTGAGCTGCTGGAGGAAGGGCTGCTGCCCCAGGAGCTGCAGCTATAGGTGGGTGGGGACTGTCCTCAAAGCCTCTTCTCTCGACCTATTCACACCTACATTCTGCAAATTTAAAGACAGAAAAAACCACAAAAATTTAAAGCAAAGGTCTGACAGGCAGTCGCGGTTTTCACTCAGCACGCAGCGGTTACAAGACACAAAAGGTGAGCAAGTTGTAATGCTTGTTCCCTCAAAATGCTCTGGAAAACACAAGGAAGGGTCCCAGCCCCTGAGCACGAGTCAGAACCAGGCTTGGACCTCGTCCCAGTGCCAGGAGCTTTACAGAACCCCTCAGACACCCAAAAGCAGGATCTCTGCTGCCAGTGAAATGCAGACTTGCATCACACCAGGCCTGGCAGGACAATTGGTCCCTGTACACCATATGCAGGTCTCACTGTTACAGCTTTTAAAACCTTTTTTTTTTCCTTTAATCACTGTTTTAACCCCATTTTTCTAACCCACTGTCTCTCCAGTCCTTATGCATGTAGTGTAAGGAAAACCAGAACCCTGTAAAGGCAATAAACAACACAGGAATCAATAAAATCTTGAGGGAGGGAAGCCTTCCTCTCCTTGTTCCAAGCACACTCCAGGAAATAATTCCTTAACACCAAGAGCCATAAAGCCACTCCTGATCCTATCTGTGAGCAGCCAAATCACTGGAAGAACGCCGAATAACTCCCTGAAGAGCTGGTAACATCAAGTGTTCCCTGAAGAGCTGGTAACATAAAGTTTAAATGCACTTTGGGGTACACATGGCATGTGGCAGATGTCACACTGACATCAGGGAATGCTCCAGTGGTTTTATATCCACTTTTATTAGAGTTTACATTCTAAACAAGTCTCTCCAGTTGAACTCTGGGGAAAGGAGAGTCCCACGAGCACACAGCAAGGGGCCCTCTCAGCACATGCAGACACACAACTCCATCAGTCAAAACTCATCCACTCAAAAAGCAGTTCAATCCCCTCCCCAACCCCAGTTTCCAGATTTTCAGCCATTTCTTTTGAAAGCAGGCTATAAACAATCAACACCAGATTCTCTTTGGAGGCTGAATTCTGCCAACATTGCTCTGCCCTCACCAGTTCTACATCCACATCAGCCCTTTCAAGGGCTGACCCCTCTGTCATCAGCTTTCAAGCCCTTGGGTAAATCCTCATTTTCCACCATGAATACCACACCAAGGTTTCTGGGAACACACACAGCAAATTCTGCTGGACAGAGTTGTCCAAGTACTGGAAATCTCTGCACCCACCAGCACAGAGCCTGACCCACTCACATCTCTTTGAAGGAAAGCAAAGTGACAACCCCATCTAAAAAAGAAGCTTCTACAAGAAGCATCTCTTCTGCAGCAAGGGGAAAGCATCAGTATCTGCTAAGAACTAACTAAGGTGTTAGCAAAACAAGTCATACTCTGCATGGTTATAGGGAAAAAAAAACAACAAACCAACAGAAGTGCTGGCATTTGGTGTGTTTGTGGTTTTCTTAGCAACTGATGCAACATACCCAGGATTTCCTTGGGACTGCTGAGAGGTCTCCACAGGCACTCACAGAATACTGGCTGAAATCTTTTAAGCTGAACATCTGATGTTGATTCAAAGAACATTATTAAATGGAGCATGAAATGGAGCATCAAAATGCAGGAATCCAGAGGTACTGGAAATTAGTCCACAAGCAGCAAGAGGCAGACCGCTTAAACATGAAGCTAAAAGGAAATGAGGTGATTAAGGCAAAGCAGAAGATACAGCTTATTTCAGTGAATGAGACAATTGGATAAAAGCAGCATTCTAACAACTAAGACAGACCCAAAGGGAATATTGATAAGCAGACAAGAAAGCTGAAAGCAAAAAAAAGCTTGAATTTGAGTAAATACAAACAGGCTGTGGAAGCGAAGTGTGCTGAACTGCCACACTGAAGGAAGAAAACTGGGATAAACCCTGATAAACACCCCCAAGGGTTTATTAAACAAACACAACAGCCAGCAGAGAGAGCACAGATGAACAGGGGCTTAGAAAGGGACCAATATCCTCATTAACTGTAAGTGGATTCCTACTCTTAGGAATCCCATTAGATGAGATGATGGCAACTGAGATTGTACCCACTTTCAGAGCAGCCATGGGCACTGTGAGGGAAAAGCCATGCAACAAGGAAAGTGCTGCTGCTTAGAAAGGGGACAGAGGTTTCACCCTATCTTTCGGGACCAGACGGTGTCCCTGCAATTGCCTGGCACCAAAGCACACCTGGACAAGTGACCATGCTGGGAACAGCCCCACACCAGCAGCAACACTGTCTGGAGAGCCCAGGAAACACAGGAGAAGGAATAAAAACCACACAACTGTCCCAAATACTGTTTCTACCCAGCCATTCACCCTCTTCCCTGGCCAGCCCCAGCAGGAGCTGGCTGTTGGCAGAGCCTGCTCCCCGAGGCAGGAGCTGTCTCACCCTGCCTTGCACAAGACTCAAAGTACACAGATTAACTCAAATACCCTCCTATACCCTCTTGCTGTTCTCATTATGCCCTGGCCTTTGGACATTTTTGTCCTACAGGACAGAGCTTCCCCAGCAAAGTGCTGTGGGTCTCCAACAGGACAGGCCTTGTTTTCAGTTTTGCTTTGACTCAGCTACATGTGATCCTCACAGCAGAACAGGAAGATCTTGCAGAAAGGCTCCTGCAAGCAAAAGGAGGAACCTCTGGTGACAAGGGCCAGCACAGGCATCAATATAGAAATAAACAGCACAATATAAACATCCAGCACTCTATCAGCCAGCTTCACCTCAGCAAGCCTCCCATCCAGCATCAGGCCTTCCTTTTACTGACAAAGCAAGAGCTGCTAAGCAATCCTGCTGTAAGAGGAGACCCCTTAGAGCATTCTGCTTTTAAATATCCACTTCACTCCGTGGCACACATCAGCACAGTGAGTGCTGTCTGTGCTCAGCAGAGTACAACATGCAGACATAGCCCCAGGAAATGTGGCTGGCAGCAGCTGGCAGGAATGGAGGGTCCTGGGTGCTTCCAGTCCCTCTGCAACCTCCACCAGCCACAGACCAGGCAAACTTTGCTTTCCTCTCTGGCCAAGCTCCTGCTCCTGTCATCCTCCCCCTCAATTTTCTCTGACAGCCCAAACCATCCTTTTTCAAGCAGCAAAACTCAGTTTTTCCACAGCAGATGCCAGCACAGGTTTGGGCTCCATAAGAAATACAATGCATTTAATTTCATTTGGATGGTGTTTCCTGAGCTGTGGCCTGAGGAGGTGACAGCACTCCAAGCTGTCTCCATGTGGCTCCTCAGTACCTGGCTATGGCCATCGTCCCTGTGATCCCTCAGGATGTCACCTCAGCTGTCAGGTAAGAGCAACCAGACCCACTGTTGTGTGCAAGGGGGTAGAGCAGGCTCAGGTGCTCCTCTGGGCCACCTTTCACAGCAAAGCTCATGCCCAGACCCTGGAGCAATTAAACATGGAAAGTGACCAACCACTCCTACATCACACCAGGATCACACCACCACAGCAGGAGGTTCTCTGGCCAGAAGGTTGTCTGGTTATGGCAAGCATTCCCAATTGCTACAAACTTCTGAAGACTTCAGTACCATTTTAGAAGTGCAAATATTTAATTACTTTTTTTTTTTCTCAAAATCCTGGTTTGGGAAAAACATACCACCTGAGAAACCTAACAGCTAAAAACTTACCACAGTCCTGCTTACTTTCACTACTTAAAGTCCCCCTCAGAAAACAGTTGTGAGGCTCAGTGATTTTCTGCCTTTCCCTGCCTCAATGCCACCTGCTCCATGGCACAGGCACATCCCACAGCCTTGTGGTGCCCATGGAACACCGTGGCAAAGGTACCAAAGCACCACATCTCCCACAGCCTGCAGTCTTCCTCCCTCCTGCAACGGGCTTTCCTATCATCCAGTTTTGGATTCATGCCCTGTTGGTTTGAGATCTGTGTCTGCTGGAGCCACTACCCAGCTACAAAATGCTCTGGCTGACTCTGCTTCCCTGTTCTGGAATGGTGAGCACTGCTATTTGGAGCCCACATAAAATCTGGGTACACAGGAGCTGGGGTAGAGCTGTACATGCTCCAGCACCCACATCCACACAAAGCAGGAAAAGAGGGAATTTTGAATCCCTTCTCTAGACAAACCCTAGAGCCTCATTAATGCAAAACAGCTGTTAACAAAAGTTGTCTATTAAAAACATTTATACACATTCCTGTTCTTTGAATAATTGTCCTGGAACTAAGTGAAAACTTACTACTCTACTCCAACAGCACATCCTTAATTAGCACATGTAGAGCACTAGTGCTGTGCATCAGTGGGATTAGAGATTTACAGTAATTATGGGTTGTTATTTTACACTACATGGCAGTCCAATCACTCCCAAGGGCCCTGGAACAGATAATACTGGTGCTCTGCTGGGCAAAACAAATTCTGACCTTCTTATCTCACAGAGAATGTTGTGTTTCATGGCTTTCATAAATACACTGCAGCTAACACTAAATGATTGCTGGCTATTACAATAAAGCTTAATGCTGCAGGATATTTAAATTACAGCAATTTACAAAACCAGCATTCCACTGAGAGCCGATCAAGGTTTGATAACTCATCCACAATAAATTAGCCAGTGCAACAATTTTATTGTGATTTGATAATTTTTTTCAAGTCATGTGCTGTACAAACATTTGGTTTGAGTTATGAGTTTGGTTTGGGTGTGGCTATTTTTTTTATTTCAAAGCAATTGGAATGATTAGTTTTTGAATTTATTTTGAAGTAGCAGGACGAAACAGCACCCAAGTTCGAAAGTTGGTCAGGACACAGGATTCACTGATGAGCAGGGACTGTTACAAGAGCCTCCTCGGTAGGTCTGGAAATGTCTACATTCTGTATAATAATAAAAATACAGAGAATATTTATCATGCAGCAGTAAGACCAACAAAAACCACCAATCAGGTCCCTTCACAAGTACACAGTTGGGTTGATTGAGAAGCAGAGATGGTTTCAGCCCCCCACACCCCAAGAATGCAGCAGACTGAGAGCTGGTCCCTGTCCCAGAATGAGACAGCAGAGAAATGTATTTGCAGTAAACAAAAATAAAAGCTTTTTGAAATTTTCACAGTCCTTTGAGGAGCAGTTAAATACAGCTCCAGTGCTGACAGCACTACCCAAAGCTCGAGTCAGTCACATTTAGGAGGAAGTCTTTTACAGGCCCAAGCAGGAAACCACCTTACCATGTGCTTCAGCACATACACATCTCACTGAGCAATGTTCATTGTTTCACTGAATATGCCACGTGCTTCTGTGCCAAGAGAAAGCTTTTAACATGTGCCTGCATTATAGGCAATGTAACACCTCTAACAAAATGAAATATATGTTCTCAGACACCTTAACCATTCAAGGCTAATCACACAAACTAAATCTCATCTCCTTTCACAGAGGCTGCAGAAAAACAATGATATTCAGTGCAGCACTCAATTATTCAAAACTGAATGAAAACAAGACCCCAGTGCAGCCAAACAGGAATCACATCTGCTATGGCATCACCTCCTGCAAGTCCCAAAGTCTGTGCAATTGGTGTTCTCCCTCCTACCAAGAGAGCAGACCATGACAAATGGCTCTGAAGTTCCTTACAAGATCCATTTTAGGCCAAATCATTGCCAATTCTTCAAACTTCACACTGATGGGATTCATTAGTCCTGCTTGTTCTGCACTGTGGTAAGCCAGCTCACCTTGCACTAACATCTCCCTCCCCCCGTGTTCCCTCAACAAAATATAAAAGGAGATGTGGGTATGACTAATCCCCTCTCTGTCATTCACTGACTAAGCCAGAGGTGCCCCAGCACTTTCTGGGTCCCTTCTCTGGGCCAGAAAACAACAGCTAAAGCAACTCCCCTGAATTATTTTCTGTAAAAGACTATAGACTCCTTCATTGGAAAAGTTCAGAACGTCAGCCACTACAAGGCTGACAAACACAAGGTTTCATTCTGCTCCAGACAAACCACCATGGTACTTTGAGGTTCACACATACCACAAACAAACACCCCAGAGCTTTGCCTGCATTTATGCCATGTGAAAATAGACATTTTCAGCTGAGCCAAAAGGAGGGCACTGTTCTGGAGCAGAGACTACAAGTGACTGGTGGGTCACAGAACAGCACACTGGGCAATTCTCAATCCAATAGCTTCACTGTTTAACAATGCTGTTGTGTGACACTGTATTTAATTAAATGCTTTCACTTCAATAGACTACTTGAAAACTTAATTTTACAGAAGTAATTAACATTTTCATAGGTGATTTAAATGAAAGCTTTTGAAATGTTCACAGACCTTTGAGCAGCAATTAAATGCAGACAGGACCAGCTTAAGTCCTTTATTCAGACCAACTACCTGAACAGTGTAACACCATCCATAATTCACCAGGCTGGGTTTCCTTTGGGGCAGAGGGAGAAGAGGATTTGAGGGGTTTTTAGGAAAATGCCAATATTCCTTTTTTTCTTCTTATAAAATTCATGCACTCAACTTATTTGTGTTCAAACCAGTCTTTGTGTCTTTGAGCCCGCTGCAATGGAAGGGTCTTCCTGATCCTCTATGTGCACCCGAATAGAGCCACCCCACAGCAGTGCCAGCATGGCCACATCACTTGCCAGACCTGGAAAGTCACTTGGTGATTCAGGCAGAGCTTTCCTCCTTGAAACAAACCCCTTCAGTTAGAGGACTGGCATCTTCAGCAACATTTTAGCAAGCTGTAAATTCAGCACCAATATTTTGATCCGCCAAATTAAAGATGTTCATCTACCTTATTTAACACAGCCTACTACTCTAAGACACCCTCATGGACTTTTCAATATGCTTCTCCAGCTTTATGGACTGTGAAAACACAGACTAGATTTCCTAAACATGATAAATCAAACTAAGATACAAAACAGCAAAGCAGAATGACAAAGCAGGAAAAGGAGGAGAAAGGATATAATGCAATGCAGTTGTTGAAGAGATAATGTCCAAAAGTCAGTATTTTCAGAACTTGGAATACCCAGGTCAATAAAACAAAGCTTCTTTGCAGAAGAATTCAGCAAAGAATTCCAGCATGAATTCTGTACAAAAGTGAACCCTCAGTTACAAAAGGCACTTTATGTCCTGTGCCTTGTGGAACACACAGATAAAACCTCATTTCTCACTACATTCTTTTTCACTACAAACTGTTGCTCTGAAAGCCACCAAACACAGTCCTTTTTTCTCATGTTATCAAACTGACTTCCAAGTCAGCAGCAGGCACTGCTCCTAACCTCAGGGAATCAGTGCCATGCCTGGTGGCATGAGCCTGAGGATCTGCAAGGGAACCAGAGAGCTTTAACCACGACATATTTCACACAACTTTGATGCTAAAGCAAAGGAAGAGCTTGGCACAAGCAGCAGAGTGAGCCTGAGCTCAGGTGGACACTGAAGAGCACAGAGAGCCTGACGCAGGCAGGGCACAGAGCTGCCGTGGGCTGACATCTTCTCTGCACTTACATGTCACAAACACGCTCAATTTCCTTCCCCCGGGTGTCCTGCTGTTTCCCGAGATCTAGTCTTCCTCTCCAGCTTTGGCTTAAAACACAGGTGACATCATCAATTCCTCTTTTTCATACAGCAATGACAGCAGGGATGAAAAAGCTGATGATTTCTCTCCCCAGAATAGATGTGGCATTCATAACACAACTGTGGGCTACACCTACTTCTGATGAGGGACAAAGCCTGGCAGAACTTTATACAGTTTTTAGCCTGACACCACATCTTCAAATTCTCATTTCTCAAAGATAAACCATTCCAGCTAGAACTCACACATAAGATAAATTCAGTCAATGAGAGATTTGCTCCCCTCTCACAGTAAACCAGTAGCAAAATATGTAAAATGTAATAAAATATGTAAAATAAAATACACTCAGCTGAGCTATCAAATCAATTCTAGCCACAAGGACAATGTAAATCAGCTCAGAATGTACATTACATCAAGTTCTCCAATTTGAGAAATAGTCTTACCTCAGGTTTATCTCTGTGTGTGTTTACAGCTTCAACATTCAGAAATATAGAATCTACTTTACATCCTGTTGATAGAAAACACATTTTTAGATACATCTGCTTTGAAAGTGAAGTTATAAAAAAGATACAATTATATATATATAATTTTGAGATGGTGAAGGTTAATCACTTTCCCCTTCTGATTTATACCAGCATTTCCTGAATTCTGAGGAGCTAAAGCTACTGAAATTAATTTGTTCCCCTTGGATAAATCTTATTGTCAATCTGATAATCAATCTCCTCAGCCTAGCTTTATCATTATTTTCTTGGGAAAAAAATCTTTTTTTTTTAAACATACATGAACATTCAATCAGAATGTCTGTATTTGTAACTTTCTGTGTTTTAAACATCCAGGACTTTTGTACTACAGTAAAATTCTAAGAAGATAAATGCTGCTCTCATTCCTTAAACATAAAAACAACTACAAGGTACAGTGTGTTGTCAGCAACCCACATCCCTCTATATGTGCAAAATGGTTTTAACCCCAAGCTAACAGAACTTCGAAGCAGACTCCTGAAAAGGAACTACTGCTTTACATTCAGAAATTCAAAACGCCAGTGAGGCAAGAAAAATTAAAACAGTGAGAAGAAACAACTAGGTAGTATAAATAATAAGGTAGTATAAACTGATCCACTTAGAGAATGATATAATTACTCCATCCACCATGGCCACAGCACTTCAAGCAATCTCTGATTGCCAAATCCTGGCTTATCTCAGACAAATGTGACTTTTATAAGCTACCACTACTCTACAGAACATCATTAATCGTCACTTCCTCTGACACACCAGTCTATTCTCTATCACAAGCAGCTTTCCAGATTTTTATCCTCATTTATTCCCTAAAGGTGCACCACACTCCATCGAGTTGCTACATGACAGAAAAAAAGGGGATTTCCTTAGAAAGCCACAGCACTTTAAAAAAATAAAAATAAATTAGTAAGGCCAATATTTGCCTTCCCTTTGGGAAGCCTGTCCTTTTAAAGCCCATTTGTCAGGAAGACTGTGAGCAAACACTGTGGGAAGGCCAGAACTCAGAGAAACAGTGAACCATAAAACAGATTTTAAGGAGGAAAAGCACATCATCTCCCACTGGAGCAGGATCCCTACTCATCCTTCTGTCCACAGATCCACTGTGACCCCGGAGACCAAGCCAAGACAAGCTCTGAGCCCTGGAGCTGGCCATTCCCCAGGACTGTTACACAGCAGACACTTCAGAGCCCTCTCAGTCCTTGTCACAAGCAGAGTTTAAGATCCAAAGAGAGCATCATGTGGAAAGCTTTAAACACAAAACAAAAGGACATGCCTTGCTCCACAGCACTTACCATCTGCATACTCCCAGCTCATTTTTAATTACTGATGAGCAAGTTCATCCCTACAGCAAGCTGCACTTTCTCTTTCCATAGACCACCACTGCCCTGGACTGCTGGGTAAAGGTCTCATCCACCCTGATCCAGCTGTCAGGCTGTAACTGATGTTCCTCCACTGCAGATCAGACTCTTACAGCGGCAATGATGCTGCCCTCCAACACCAGGAAGAGCAAAGCCCCAGGAGAGGCATTTCCCCAGAACAGGCTTAGCTGGGAGGTACCCAACACACCAGCTCTGATGCTGCATCCTGCTAGAGCCAAGTGACACATCAGTGCCATCGATCAGCACTGCAGAAATCATTTACACAGTCCTCGTGTTTCCAGATGGCTGAATTCCACAGAGCAGGTTGGCTGAAATGTGCACATCAGACATACATACCAAACACCTTAAAAAAGGACAATGGCATTTCTTTCCCCCTAGCCAGAAGGGCAAGGACAGCATTTTGTACCACTTTTGTTTCCTTCCTCTCTTAGTGCGTGAGCAAACACTGCAAACATCTACACCCTCTTAAAATTTATGAACAGTCACCCAACTTCCCTCCCCCTACAAAGAAGAATGAAAAACAGCAACAACAACAAAAAAAAAATCACCAGAGATTTTTTTTCACCCAAAAATCCAACGAGTACCCCAAAACAAAGCCTTGCTGTGGAAAACAGGCATAGACTAGCAGGTCAGAAGAATCCAGTTTTAAGAAGCCCAAGTTTTAACTGCAGTGAACCGTTATTTTCAAAACCCCAGCTTGTCATGCAAGGCTGGGAGCACCAGATGTCACCACAGCACAGGCTTTACTTCCTGCAAGAGGAAACTGAACCAAAAATCTCCTCACACAGATTTCCCAGTGCAGCAGCTACTTTGTTTCACAATATTCTTTGTTTCAACTTCATTTGGAACTTAACAAAAAACAAAGGACAGACCTGGACTGCTATTTTTCAGAGCTGATAATACAAAGACATCTTCCAATTAATGACTGAGCCAACATTTCTGGGCAATACATTTTTCCTAATAAGCCATGCAGATAATTCTCTGCCTGAAGAGCGATATCAGCAGATATGACCCAGCCATAACTGAACAAAAATGAACAGAAGGCACACACTAAGCTAAGGTGGGAACACACACAAAACTCCTTCAGCAATCAGCCTAAAGCCCAAGCAGGCCACCCTCAGCCCACAGAGCCCAGGGAAAGCACCTGAGCCAAGCACCAGAACAGCTGCTGACAAACAAATGCCAGCACCAACAAACAAGGTGAGTTCATGAGCTACTCTCATAGTCCATGGAAAAAAATAGTTCAGGAAAAGAGAACAAAGTTATTTAAGGCTACGGGAACACATTTGGCAAGATGATAAACCTACACAAATGCAAATTTGTCTTCTGAAAAGCAATACCTTCCAATACATCAAAAAAACCTCAGATCTTGCTGTAGCAGATGTGTAAATGCATGGGTTTGCCAGAAGAATTAGTGAAACAGAGTATGAACTGAGCACAAAAATGTCCCCTGCAGCAGTTACAGCCACTGGTGGTTTCAGGCCTTCAGCACACATGTGTTTCCTGGCACAAGGCAAAGCAAGGGTAATCCAGAGGATTCAATTATTCCAGCAAATCTCTGCAGGCATACATGCAATGTCAAACCTGACTACTTTAAAGCAACATAAAGAGTGTTTTAAACACTCCACCACCTTTCCTGATGACAGAGACAGTATAGGCAAAATTGTATAATAAATATACAGAAGTGCACCTACCATAAGCCACGGGGGTTAGCTTTAAGACGGTATGCAGTGGGCACTTCAGGTAGGGCAGTTGCTCTGAAAAATCAAACCACAAATTACACATGAAATACAGGTTATAACTGACTTTTCTGCTATGTTTCAGGTCAACTACTTGAATGACTTTTTACCTAACAGGATATCTCTTCTCCTAGCACGCAACAGAGATGCTAATCAGAGCAAAAAACAACTATCACAGTATTTCAGGTGTGGAGCAGCTCAATAACATCAACTACCGGGTTTCATGTGGGGGTCAAATGCAAAAAAAATACATTTGGGTACTTGCCTAGCAAAACCAGCCTCTGATGATACAGCGAATTGGTAGAATTTACTGTTTGAAACCTTAAGCAGTAAATTTTCAAAAAAACAGACTGTTTGTAACATATCAAGGAAGACTTACCTGCGGGCTTGTCAAGGAAATATGCGAGCAAACAGCGCATGACAGCTTGGTGACAAATGACAAGCACATTTTCCTGCCTTTCGAGTTCCATAATTACTGGCTCCAGCCTCTGAACAAGATCTTCATAGGACTGGGTGGGGAGGAGAAGCACATTAAAAAGGGAAAACTCTTTGAACAAGTATATGTATACAGAGGGGATCTTACTTTCATATTAGTCATCATCCAAATATTATTTATGCACAGACAAATACTGCAGTAATAATTGTTATTCAACTAAGAACACAGTTCAGACCTAAGCACATACATAACACATTTTATTATACACACAACAAAACAAATCTCCCTCATGGAAAAGCTTTATTAAATTAGCCACTTTTATCAAGAATTTCCACAAAATCCCTAGGATTTAATTAACATCTGCAAATAGTCTTGCAAGTTATTTTCCATAGCTCATCTTCGAAAGCATCTCTTTTCCAAGCCCAAATCTAGGAAGCTCAGCCAAAAATCAGCATGCAAGGAGTTCACAAAGCCTGACTTGTTCAGGCTGCCCTTTCAAAACAAGCTGTGGGCATGTTGGATGGCCTGGTGACAGCAGCCACCATCCCACCAAGAGCCAGCACAAGGACTTGCTGGGGACCTGCCCTGCCTGATGGTGCACAGGGAACTGCTGCTGCAGGGGAACAGCAGGACTCCTGCATGGGCACAACTGAGCTCAATTTCACATGCATGGTAAAGACTCTGCTTCCAAAATGTGCTAGGTACTTCCAAAATGTGTCACTTATGTCCAAAATGTGTCATGTACCACACGTGGAGCGCTCAGCACACTGCCCAGCAGGGCAGGGACCAAGCACAGCAGAAAACCTTCACCTTGGTCCCCAAGCAGGACCAAGTGGCACTGCTGACTGAGCCCTGGACAACAGAAAGCCCCCAGTCCCCCAAGAGCTGTGCACACCCCTGACACTACTACCAGACACAAAACTGTCTTGGATAAATGAGACCAACTCATCCCCACAAGGCACTGAGGGAGTTTGACATGCCAGTCACCATCCCAGGACTGCACTGGTTTGAAAAACAAACACTCCTTGTTCAAATGCATGAGGAGAGCTTGCAGCTTAATGACTGCCTCATTAGCAGGACCAGGGTCACACTACCAGGGACATTGCTCTTGTCACAGTGATTGCTCTTGAGGAAGAAGGCAGAGCTCTGCTCCCTCACAGCTCAAGCACAAGTAGCTGGGCCAATCCCTCTTCCCAGACCCTCAGCCCCCAGCAATGGCCCTGTGACCATCTGGCCAGCACTACACTGCACTAGGGCTGCATTAGAAAAAACATCAGCAAATTTTCCCAGAGGAAAGGAGTTTAATAACATGGCTGGAGATTTCCCCAGCATTTCAGCCAGAGCTGCCTGCAAAACAGCCACCACCAAGAGCAGGAATGAATAGAAACAGGCATCTTAGCAGCATGTTTGCATATGCAACAGTAGAAGCCCTGCAATAATTCCTCCAGCTTTATCACTGCAGGACCAGCACAGCAACGATGATGCCCACAAGACCAAAACTCTCCACTGTTTTTCTAAATTTATGGTTTTATTTTTCAAGCCCTGAATCAATATAAGTGGTCTGGGCTCAATCTTTGCAAGATCCTATGTGCTTTTCCACAGAGAAAGGAACAACCTTTTCATTAATTTAAAAATTTATTTTTCCTTCCTAAAGCCAGCATGCATGTATGCAAGAAAACAAGGAATCACTTCAACTTGAGAGATTAAAAATAGCATACCTCTCCTTTAGGGTATCTGTATCTGTATTTGTCTTGGTCTCTCAGTGCAAATTCAAGAGGATAATTTTCCTGTATTTCTTCGTATGTCATTTCTTCACACACTCCCTGTCGGTAATGAAAATAATTAAAAAACATGTATTCCCAGTAATGCAAAAAGCAGATATCACTCTTAAACAAAACCATATACAACTAACCTTTAACAGTTTTATTTTGCTACTCTGACACTTAAAATTGTCACACATGATAAACAGGGCACTCAGCTTGTCTCAGAGGTGATTAGTAGGAATCATTACCTCCCTGTACAGGTGAAGTTACATCTATGGACAAAGCAAGGCCATGTTTTATCTATTGCACCTCTTATTATATCTTACAGCTGCAGCTGGAAATTGCCAGCCAGCAAAACTCCCCCACCACAAACTTCTTTCCAAGCCAAACTAACCAAAGCTTCATAACATCATTGCTTCTACAGAGGAATGTTTTACTGGGAATGTAAAGAAAAGAACAAATTAACAATGGAAAAATTCAATTAAATGTTTAGCCTTGTTTAATGTTTGTTAAGTAATGACAATTATTTCCAGCCTCTAGAAGCAGCTTCAATGACTTTCTATCCCATAAAAGGCATATTATTAAAAAACTAAATCGTCTCTTTCACCCCTAACAATCAAAGCAACTTATTAGGCATTTAAAAGAGAAGAACTTACTGCATCAATCTCATTCAAAACCTTCCACTGTTCATAAGGCACTCCCAAGGCTTCAGCAGTCTGAATTGTCCTTTTCATCTGGCTGGTCCAAACTTTCAGATCTTTGATATTTTGCTCATTAATAAACTGTGCCAAGCTTTTGGCAAACTGGAAGAAAAAACAAGAGACACTGGATGAGGGCTCAGAACCAACACATGGCTTTCAGTTTAGAATACACGGGTACCAACCTCTGTAAGCTCCCTGTAGCTTTTCCAAAAGACTGTCAAAGTTTTTGCTAAGAAATACAACCTACTCCATTAGCCAAGAGGGACAGGAGAAAGAAAAGAAGTACAAGGAAAATATTTGTATTTTCAGCAGTTCCTAGCTTTCCTTCCACTAATTTTCCTTTCAGCTTTAAGTTGTGTACACTTTCCCAATTACCCAACAAGTCAGGATTTCACAAAAATATAGTTAAAAAATAAAGCACCCTTGCCAAGTGCTTTGTGTGGTGTGGGCTAAAAAGGAATTTCAGCCAACAGAAAGGCAAACAGATAATAGAGTACAAACCACAACAAGCAAAGTGCCCATCCTGTTTCCACTACCCAAACACACAACTAAAGAAGTCCTTTAAACTCGTTAAGAAGGACAGGCTGCAGAGGAGGAAAGCTGCAAGTTCCCAGCACAAAGAGCACAGTTACACCTGGCTGGAGGTACGTACTTCCTTCCCCCTGACAGACAGCCCGGGATCGCCTCCTATCCTCCCCTTCAGGTTGAGCTCGCTCTCTCCGTGGCGGCAGAGGTAGATTGACCGAGGAGTCACATGGATATTCATGAGGTAGTAGACAATCCGGCTCTGGATGTGATCCATCACTCTGTTCACCAGGTAACTCCTTCCGACATCCATGATTTTAATGTAAGAAAGATCCCTTTCATGAGCAAGTTAAAAAAAAATGTAAGGTTCCACATTGTTGCTATTAGCAAGTACCACAATCTTTCCATCCTCTCTGTCGTTATAAAACAAAGGGGCGACAAGCCAAAGAAATTTAAATATCCTCAATTAGCCACGGAATATGCATTAATCCTAAGAAATAACACAGTGCTCCAAAGGTACAGGATGAACTCTATTCCTTTAACGTGGAGCTGCTCACATCACTTTCTTTTCTGCCTCCTTTACTTGCACTTCATCCAAATCTAGATCCTACTCTTGGAAAAATACAGCCCACACACTGAAAGGGAGATTCAGTGGGGTCACTTAAGTTACCACAGCTGAATAAGATACATAGCTATTTTACAATACCATTTGTTTTTTTTTTTCCCAGGTTACTAACACTTTCCATCACCAAGTGTTTGTGTGATTGCACCCAGGGGCCAAAAGGAACGGTCACTAATTACCCATCTCATTTAATCCCTCCAGAAAAAGTAGGGCACCAGAAGAGCCCAGGAGCAGTCTGAAGCAAGACATTTTCTCAACTGCACTGTGAGCAACCCTTTGTTAACTGTACTGTAATCTACCCCACCACTACCGTCTCTCAGCATCAGACAGCTTGTAATTTCAATTTTCACTGCTTATCCTTTACCATCTGAGCTATAAATCTAGAGCAGCTTCTCATTCACACAAGGAAGTATCTCATAAGCTGAAAATAACCACTACTGGTTTCCAGCTATGTGTTTGAGACACCACACTGCAATAAAACAAGAAAACTGATAATAAAACCAAACAGAGGTAGTGAGAAACAGGCATCAGCACCCTCATTCCTGCCCGTGTTCCTTGGAGTTAATGATTACTATTCCAGCCAGGCAGAGCCATTAGGTCCATCATGGGAATTACACGCATGGACTGAGCCGACTGAACCGGCTTCACGCTGCTCACGCTCAATTACATTAAAATGCAGCTCAGCCTTCTCTGCAGCTCTGGCCTGGAACAAACCAGGAGCACCTGGTAAGGCTGCAGCTCCAAACCCTACTCTGAAATCCTGGGCTGTAGCACACATGATTCATCCCTACCTTATTCTCAAGAGTTCAAAGTTAATAAAAACCAGAAGAATGCTTTGGGGTGAGGATAAATAATGTAGCCAAGACAGTTTCTCAGAGCCCTGCATCTGCAGGATAATTTTGCAAGCACAAAGGAATTTATTCAGAAGTCACATTTTTAAGATTGATGTGTTCAAAATTAACCTTAAGCATGCCAAACAATTAAGTTATGCTTACAAATCACTCATGTCTCCTCTATGTACCAAAAAAACAAGTACCACCCGACCACTGTAGAAAATCAGGAATAATTGCTTATCCCAGAAGAATAAATACCTACACCCCCAGAGTCACCTCTCTCTAATTTGCCAAAGGAGAGAGAGATCAAGCCACTAAAATAATGACTTCAAAGCCCTAATCCCCAATACAGGATGCCCCAACCCTTAAAATAATATTTGAATTAATATTTTGATCACCGGGTGTAATAACAGTGTTGTTCTATCACTTACTTGTCCAGAGTTTCATCTAAGGTCTCATACGAGTTCTTGTAGCACTCTATTCTTTTCATGAAGTCTTCTGTTGCTTCATCATTACTACATTCAACATAATCAGGGCTACCCAGCTTCACTTGCTGTTTAAAATAAAACCAGGAGAACAGTATTTAAGATTCCTTCCCTTCTTCATGGATGTTTAAAGAAATAGGGAATGGGAGAACACAACAAAAATTTTGTCTACAACTTCATTAAAATACATGTAAAGCAAAAAAAAAAAACCCTACTCTTCAGAGAATTAAACTTCTGTGCTAGTAACATTCATATAGACAGGGAAAAACAAAGTTTTTTTTTCTATTAATGAGAGCTAAAGTGGGATTTTTGTTATTGGAAGTTCTTATAATGTACTTCTAAAAATACTGAGCTACTTTAAACCTCCCAATGTCAAGCCGTTAAAGCAAACTTTCCTTTACTCACCACAATATTTGCAGCAATGACCTCTGGATCGACACATACAGACTCCACAAAAAAAGTCTTCAGTCCAAACGGGAGGAAGAAGGAACAGAAGGGAGGAAGAAGGAAGATGCATGAAAACACCTCTGGATACTAACACACATGAGCAGCATGTCACCCACTTCCATGCCAAGGCCTTTTTCCCTCCATTTAGTCAGAAAGCTTCTCCAGACCCTCTCATCAGAAATTCCTGGCTCTCCATTCCATGACACATCATGCTCTGTGCTCTTTTCCCCAACAATGCTTGGAAGTGGAAAATTCTTGCCATAGAAAAAACGTAGGATGGAAGAGGAAGAAACAAATGCAGAGGATGCTAGTCCAGCCCCACAAACAGTAACTAACATTTCTGAAATAACGTTTTAGAAGCCTCCCGGCTAATGGAGTAGCCTCACTTATAAAGAGGGTTTGTGTTCTGCTGTGTTAAAGGCTTACAGAGATTAAGTTTAAAGGAAATGAAAGATGACTGGAGAACCGCTAAATGTAAAACCAGAAGGCAGAAAACCACTGAGCTTTTGGTTTGTACAGAACTAACACAGGACCCCCCACTTTGTGTTCCTGCAGCAACGACCTCAACTGCATGAAGAACCATACTTTAAATGCTCTTTCTGACACTGCATTCATGACCACAGGTCCAGGAAGACAAAATTGAAGCCGTAGCACAAAATAGCTTAGCTCCAAACAGTACAAACACTAAAGATGAGAAAAACAAGGACTGAATGACTTCTAATCACAAACAATGCTTAGGAACACAAAACATTATTGATTAAACATGCAAGAAGAATGTGGCTCATGCTAGTGCACTTAAGAGTACAGATAAGGGTAAAACTACCACTGGCTTACCTGGCCACACAATAGCTCAGAACTGCTTTGCTTTGACTCACCTTATATCCATTTTCTTCACCAAATTTATATATAGTTTCTCTACGTTCTCGAGTTGTGTTTGTAGCATCGAAGACCTAGGAACAATTAAAGGGAGAGAAAAAGGAATTTAAAAAGCAGCACTGCCTGTGGAAAGCACTGTGTTAGTTGTTAAAGTCCCCCAGTATGAAGGAAAGCAATGGAAACGCTTCCCCTTCCCTTTACCCCATTATCTGAACAAGAAAACAAAGATGTTACTACTTTACACATATTATTCTCTAAATACAAAAATTTAGTAATATTTTGAAAGTAATTCTAGCAGAACTATGGATTTGGAAAAGGAAATCAGAATTTAAGCCTAGCACATAGTGCAGGAGAGAATCTTCCTCCTTGCCCATTATCAGCACTAAATATTAACACACAAGTTTTAGTGAACTTAGCTACAAAAAAACAATGCTGCTGTTCAAAACGCAAGTGTAAAGTCTGCAAGACTTGTAAATCCTGCCCATGAATAACACCACCAATGCAGCTATTTTTGTAGGAACTCAGTTTAGCTCTGAACACAGTATTTTACTAAAGCATGAAGTTTGCCAAAGCATAACATTTACCTCATGTATCCAACAGAACTTATAGTTCATGATTTTCCCTGATTAGTTAATAAAAGCCCCAGAGTTGTGTCAGCAATCTTAAGACAAAAATTTTAAAAATTAGTCTCAACACGCAATGTCAATAGTTGAGGAACTGATGTTTTGCATCCTATTATTAAATATTCAGTATGCAGGAACTTATAATAAGTTTCTCTTCAGACATTTCTCATGCCAGTAACAAGTGCCAAGAAATACAGAGGATACTTTTTGTTCAGCAAATCTTTACCTTCCACTTGGAACACTGAACTATCAAATAGACATGTAAGCAAAATGGCAGATGTGTTTAATGGTACATTGTGGAGCAATGTCCTATAGTGATGTGGAGAGAAGGTGGACTTTTTTCTTGGTGTTATGCTCTTCTCAGCTAACCCTTGCTCAATATGGCATCATCACCCTGAAATTCAGCACTCACTTCACTGCAGCAGAAAAGCAGACCTAGCTGTCAAGGAAAAGAAATCTGGTATACTGGACAGCTGGTGTTATCCCTCAGGCTGTGTATAATCCAGCAGACACACAGTGTTTAGTGCAGGGGCATCTCAAGAAGTTGTCTCCAACAAGAAACTTACAGCCACATGCCCGTTCTCTTCGCTGAGGTACTGCCGGACGTCGTTCAGCGCTGCTAAGGCACACTGTCTTCAGAAGGAAAGAATCACAGTCAAATGCTAGATAAAGGCATTTTGTTAATGCACTTGGGAGCAAAGGGCCCTGAAAATGGTAAGATAACTTATCTCAAAAACACAGACCTCCGTCCAAACATGGGGAAAAAACCACCAGAGGTCAGCCAAGCTACACTAAGGAAATGTGGTCATGTCCCCTTGCTCCTCTGTGTCACTGACACAGCACCACATGTCACTGACACAGAACACTCATCAACTTTGCTGACCAGGATACACTTCCACTGATCTAAAATAACATCCCTGAAACATCCCTGCAACTGTATGCTTTTCCCAAGTACCTATTCATACATAACTGCTTCTTAATTTGACTTGCAAAATAATAAACAAAATGAACCAACTTAAGGCCTTTATCTTGTGGCACTACGTTGAAGTGAAGAGACAACTGTCTTTCAGTAATCTACTTACTCTCTTTTGAGCTACTGAAAACTCCTTATGTCAAAAAAAAAAAAAAAGTTAAAGCAGAGAGCAAAACAAAGTTAGCATCAAGTATTAGTGACTTAGTGACCCCGTGTAATTAGTACTGGAGACAGCTGAGGACACAAACACCAAAAAATCCCACCCTGACATACTTTATACTTGTGTTAAATCTAGACAAGAATACATTAATATGCAACTTTCCTGTGACCCCAGTATTAGCAGTATCTTCAAAGTCCATTATGATTCCCAACACATCAGTAATGCTGGAGGGGAACATTGTACATGATTTACTTGTTAGCAGAACAAAGCCCCATTTATTCCCAGTAAGTACAGCCTCTCTGCAGTACCAACATAAAAGCCTGTACATTCCAACAGCCCTTCCCTACATTTCTGCTGAATTTTGACTTCCAGACTGAAATTCATAACTCCTCTATTTACCATTTCCTGGAAGCACAGTTTTATCTTGAAAGAGAAATGAAGGCTTTTGGATCCTGACAGTATTTCCACATTAGCACAGTTAACAGATGTCAGGAGCTGAGATTCATCACCCAGGTCTTCACTGAATAAATACAAACCCTCTTTACTCATTGCTAACTAGGCAAATTATCTCACACAGCCCATTTCATGCTACATCCCTCACCGCTTAGCCTAATAGGTAGCACACAGGCACATTAAAAGGTTTGGCTCTACCTGTAAGCAAAAAGTAGTGGCTTGCAAGGCTAATGCACCTCATAACTGCTCTTTATCCTCAAGGATTCCTTTGGCTTTAGCAACACTCAATGCTGCTGAGAGGGAGAAAGGGAAGAGAAAGGGGGGAGAAGGCAAGGGACAGCCATAAAAGAAAGTCCAGATATTTTTGATGTCTGAAGCTGAATTAAGAACAAGACAGTCCATACTTTAAGTAGCGTAAATAAATATGATTTCCATCCACCTCAAATTTCTCATTTCCTTCTCATTTCACACTACACGCTCTAAGTGCTTTCCTGAACACACCAAAAAGTACAGTGAATGTCCAAGAAAACCAAAAGGCCTTGTTGTTTGATCTCCTATAGGAAAGAAGCAGATCTCTCTTGCTCTGACTTTTCTCCTCAAGGTCTGTCCCTACATTAAAGCACAGCCTCTTTCCACGCAAGAGCAGGGACTCAGCTGCTTCATCTGGACACAGAACTCTGGTTCTCTCCTTGCTTTGCACAGCATTAGCAAAACATGGCAATTTTTGAGGCTGTGCATTGATGGACTGAATGAGGCACCTGCATGGTGGCCAAAACCACAATTTCAGGGAGAAAATTATCACATTTGATTCTCACTCATTTAAACAAATAATATGAATACATTGAAAGTGCTCCAGATGAACAATTTCATTATACAGAAAGAAAAGCAGTTTTGTGACATTTTTCCTTTATGAAACAAACAAAAGCTCTAAAATGGGATTTTAAGGAATTATGCAGCAGCAAGAGTCACATTTATTAGCTGGTACTTTACAAGAAGGTAGAAAAAGTTATAACTATCTGTTAAAATAGTTTTTGAGTGAAAATATCCTAGAGTATCTACAGGGGTAACAGTAGTCACATCCTAATGAAAAGGAATCAAGAAGGACTTCCCTCCATTTCTGATTCTTGAGATGAAACAATCAAGAAAAAAAGACCCCCAAATTTTAATTAGCTTAAAGAAATTACTATCCCACCTTCTCTTGAATGTCTTTTCCTGCAGTCTCCCTAAGGGCTTTGATCATACAAAAATGCAACTTCAAGCAATCGCTAAGAGCAAATTACAGATGATATCTTTTTAATACGATTAGCACGGTGTACCAAGCACTTACTTCCTGATTTTCAAGCCTTCTTCATTATCAGGCAGGAAGAATTCAAAGGATTTATATTTTTTCACCAAATCTCGACGATACTGACCAACATTAAATTCTGCCAAGAGAAACCAGCATTAGCAAGAGCCAACAACAGGCACATGAAAAGGACAAAAGTTATGATAACTTTGAAACCAAACTTCCTGCAAAGATAAAATAACTTGGCCTGTAAGTTATCATACTTCTTATGAAGCAAGATAACTTACTTCATACTTCTTTTTGCGTTTTGTGAGGTTTAAAATAGCAAAACAGCAATAAATCTTGGAAATAGCTAAAGAACATTTGGGCTGTAGTCACTCTACTTCAGTGGCCACACTGTAGTGCCTTTGTCTGCCAGTTTGCCTGGACAACAAAAAAAATTATTTTCCTCCTTTTCAGGAGTAACTTGAAGTCTATAAAGGACTAGTAATGATTATTGGTATTAATAATAATTTATTATTAGCTTGTTCTTCTATGTATATGTACAGTGAAACAGTGTTCAGATAGCACCTCCCAAAACTTAGAACCCTTAAGTACAAGGCAGAGCTCTAAACAGAACTAAACAATCTTGCTTTAAACAAACAAAACTTAAAATTCCAGTAACGAAAACATTTTCTCAGAACCCTGCTCTAATATTTCTAATCCATAAGAATTAGTATTTCACAACCCTTGCTCCACTTACTGGGAAAAAAAAAAAAAAAAAAAAAGATAAATTGCTGAAACAAAAAAAAAAATTAAAAATAATCCTAAGTATGAAACAATCTCACTTTTATCTCATCTCAGTGATCAAAACACACCTACTCCGTATCTGGACAAAGGTGTAAAAGGTCCTTGGCCAAACACAGTATCAGGTCACCATGTCAGGTATGGGATTAGGGCAAGACAGTTCTGCTTTGGCTTAGAGCAGAATGACATTGAACCCTAATTAATTTCATTCAGTGGCTGTGAAAGTAGGCCTCTGAAATGAAATTAAACATTTAAGTTGTTTCAGAACTACAGGTTTTGTCTGCTGAACTGCAAAGCTTTGTTTTGGTTTTTTTTTTTAAGATTAAACCACACGGAAGTATCCTGTTTAAGATGCTGCCAAGGTACAACTCTATTTGCCAGACTTCATTTCTGGAAAGAGGAAAAGAAGCAGTAGACACAATTACAAGGTTGTAGTTAAGAGACAGAATAAAAGAACTCATGAACCACGTGCTGTATACAGATTGCTGTTGGGATTGGAGGCAGAGGATAATGATATAGAAATTATTTTTCTCCCCCAAAAGTCAAGTTTTGTTTGAGCTCAGCAGTGCTGATGGAATTCATCATGACATGGATTACAGAACAATCCAGGTGATTATGTGATGGTTTTAATAAGCACTAGCCACAGTGGCTACATGAAAAGGTTTACCTTCCCTTTTAAAACAAATGGAAGGTGCAAGAAGTTCAGATGGCCAGTGTTGTAAGTCAAAAGCATTTTAACAGTCAAAAATCATGAATTTCATGAGAAGGAATAGTTACTGCCAGAGGGCCATGCAAAGCAGAGGAAAAAGTGTTATCTAGTGGGACAATCTCCAGCCTTTATTCTTGATAGCCATGCCTATGGAAAAGTTTCCCAAAGCTCACTGGTATCACAACCACGACTATTGAAAAAAGCTTCCAAGGCTTAGTATCTCAAAACCACACTGCAACACAATTCTATTCAGACATCTAATTGACCTCATTTCCTTCAAAAAGCACAGACAAAAGTCCCCTGTACTTTTAACCATTTCACATTCTATACAAGAGAGGATTTTGGAAGGAAGAAAACACAGATATGATGACTGATTTAACCATCAGCAAAAGCCTGGGTTATTTACCTCCACCTTCTGTTCTTGAACTCTCCAGTTTGCTTAATGTTACATGAAAAGATGGCATTTATCTTTTCTCTGGTTTACATAACCTCATAATTTGAACCATCTGTCTCAGAGAACAAGAACTCCTGCTAAATTAAGCACACACTAATTTTAAGACATTAAGAGCCATAGGGTAGCAGATGTTAGGGCTACTTGATACTGATCCTGTATCAGTTCAGTCCCGCCAAGTGGAAGAATTAGGGAAAATGTCATCTATTCCCTCAAACAGGCAGTGAGATGTTTTACATGGACTTCAGTAAAATTGCATCACTGGAGAGACAAACAGAAAGGCTTTGTGGTTTTCTGAGAAAATCTCAGTCACTCTTTCTAACAAAGACAAACAATACTCAGCAACCAAGGATAGAAACTCATATGGCAACCTTATATTGCATATTTTTGTAAAATCAGGCGGCAATGCTCCACCTGTTTTTTCATCAAGCACTACTGTGTGTGTTTTCTGATGTGCTGCTCGCAGTAGCCTACAGAATTTCTCCTACCAGCTGAGCCAAACTCCACCTACAGTAAAATTAGTATTTGGGATACATTCAACCAAGCATGAGCCAGATGTGGATAATATCTTTCTTGGTGTCCAATACTGGACTTCTGCTTGTCAAAGATCACACAGTGAAGTGCTCAAAATCAATGACCTTTATACATAATATATCTCATAAATTTAAGTTACATGTGTATCTATCACACAAACATTTTGTCACTTTGGATATAGGCTAAACTACTTTGATTGTTATTCTATTTCAGCCTAATGGATAAAACTAAACTCTGAACTAGCTGATACTGGTCATCAGAAGGGTTAAACCATGTGAAAACAGTCAAAATCGAGTGATAATTTAAATCCTGTAAACTCTCATACTTAAAAATGCCCATAATGCCTCTTCTAAGTAAAGCACATTATACAAGTTCCTAAAAACTTAAGAAAACACCCACACAAAAAGCTTTACCCTAGAATCAAAAGGCAGTTTAAATATAGGCCAGAACGTTTCATCTTGACTTTTTAGAGTGACTAGGAAATACATCTCTGAACAGCCAGCCAAAACTCCACACTTTAGTATGACCTCATGTGTTTAATATCATTTAAATTATTAAACAGGCATAGAGCTACTATTACTGCACTGGACACAGAATGAGAGCACACCAAATGTGTCTTGCTCTTCTGCAGAGAAAGAAGAGAAAGAAGGGGAGGTGGCTGCTGAGAACCTCAAATGCACTTAGGTCCTGTTTACTGGGCCCACAAGAGACCACAGGAGCCCAGACAGGTCCTTGGCACAGCCAATCTGAGCCATTTCCTGCTCAAAACACACAGAAATCTTTAAGGAGTTGATAACAAGTGGCAACTGGCTGCCTCGGTCTTTGGCTCCTAGTATTTAGACAAAGAACTGCAAGTCATTCCACAAACATAAAGAAGTAAAGAACTACAAGTAGCACAAAGTTCACAGAGAAAAAAAGATGGAGAAATCGGGAGTTTAACCCAGAAGTGCCGACATTCCTTTTCACCCACATGTAGAAAGGAAAACAAGGAAAAAATAAATAAACAAAAAAGGGCAGTGTTTCACAATAAGCGAAAAAGGTTGATTCAGGCAGAACAAGAAGGTAAAGGGACAGTCAACATAATTTGATTAATTAACACATAAATAGCAACATGCCCATGTATGTTATTGCTTAAAATTACATTAACAAAGCAGGAGGATTTTAAGTAGTTAAACTTGGCAACAAAATTACTGGAAATCAGCTTTATAAACCACCTATGGTTGTGCCCTGTCCTTCTGATGTAAACAACAGTAAACCCATCACCTTTTGTAGGCACTCCAATCCAATTTAAGTAGCGTGTCAGCTTCTTGGAGATGTAGGTTTTTCCTCTTGCTGGGAGACCCACCATGACAATCAGAGTAGGGCAATTGGTCATACATACTGCAAGAGAAACAGGAAACCAGGATTTACCAACAGCATTCCCACAAGCAAAGGCTGCTGCTGCTGCACTGCAAAACCCCTCTCTGAGAGCTCCCCAGGAAGGTCCCACCCACCCAAGCAGCTCATGCACTGTGGGAAACCATTTGGGGCTCCACAGCACGACAAGGAGCCTGACCACCCTTCTTATGCTGAATTTTGGAAGGGTGAGTCAGTGGCAGTGCAGTGATGGACGTGTGAGGCGCAAACAGGCAGAAAAGAAGAAATCTGTATATATGCACACAGTAAAAATAGCAAAATAAAGGCAAATGACATCATACGCCCCCGTGTACCTCAGTTTAGTGCTTGCATTGAAAGGAAACAGCAAGGTGTACAGTTTTTAAATAATTTTTATATTTTTAAGACAAGACCTAAACATTGTTCAACCTTTTCTTGATTTTGAGCAAAATGAGCATGATAAACACATATTAATAAATTATAGTAAGACATGCTACTCACTACTGATTACTCCTTTAAGTACAATTAACACTAAAATCTCTCTTGAGCAGAGCTCATTTGGCTATTACTAAGAATAAAACAAGTATTCTACACAATCAAGTACAATACTCTGATATAGATATATGTACACACTCTTAATCAAAGCCAGAGCATTTAATTTTAAAAAATCCCTCAACACTGTAGGAGGCTGAAAGAATTGTATGTATAATCTAAAAACTTTGGAGGCATTTCCTTTCAAATTACAAGTTTTTGAACATTTTAACAGCACAAAACTAAGGATACCTTGCATTAATCTATCACAGCTACAAGGAACTGCCTAAAAAGAAAGAAAATATTAAAGTGATGCAGATACCACCAAACTCCCTCCACCTTCTATTTTTAAGGGAATTCATTTCTATACAATCCACATGTGTATCAATTTCCTCAGTGCCTTGACAGAGACATCAATTTACTCCAAAAGACCAAATCTCAGTGATTAGCTGTAAGGCATAACTGAACTGGTGTACAAAGGGCTGTGTTTGCTCAGAATTCCCAAACTGCCATCCCACAAAGCCACTTGCATAAATCTAGTGCAGATAGTTCACATAATAGATAAAATAAAATTAAATTAAATTAAATTAAAAAAAGCAGATTAGCAAAGGCAGATGTGCCGTTTTAAAATGCACATTGGAAGCCACAAAACAAAACACATTAAAAATACACCACTTTTCATGAGCGAGAGGAGGTGAAGCGGCACCCAACCTCAAATCCATGAAACAGTCAACTACTCCCTGTAATGACAGCTACAGGGAACTAAATGCAAAGCAAAACAGATCCATCCAAACATGACCGAGTCTCTGGAAGGACGCTGAAAAAGCCCTCAGAGTGAGTTCCTCTGTGCAGAAGCCTATAAACAAGAAAGGTAATAATTTCTTTTCCTTTTTGTCATAAGTCCAGGCTGTGAACCCCCTCTCCAAGAGGGTAAACGAAGTCTCTAGGGAAGCTACAAAGCCTATGGAGTGCCAAGTGCTTATTAAGCTTAATAGCCTTGCTTCCAGCTTTAAGGGCATAAAATAAAACACTGAGACATGAGAAACCCCTGGGCCCCGAGACATTTTAAGAGAAGACATTTTTCTTCAAAGCCTCTTCAAAAGGTCCTTCACCTGAAACACCTAGCTCAAGTTTTGAACAATTTTTCAGTACAAGCAGGGAAGTAAGAGCTGTAAAAGACAAACCAGGATCTCTACAGAAAGGCTCCATGCACAGCCTGAACTCCTCCAGCTCTGCAAAGAACTGTGGTGCAATAGGCTTTTATACCTATTCCAAGCAGAATTTTTACCTATTCCAAGCAGAGTTTACCAACCTTTTATTCTTAGAGCACCTCTTTTTTTTTTTTTTTTTTTTTTTCTTTTTTTCCCATTTTTCTGCTGCTGGGGACAACCATACAAATTTCACCTTCTCTCAGAATATCCGTCTTCTGGTAATGAAACAATAAACCTATACTGGAATAAAACTGAAGTCTGGGAAGCTTCCATGAAGAGACCTTCAAACCACTTAAATTAAATGGCTGCTTCACAGATTATATCAACAGCTAAATTTCTAAATTAAGTCCTACTGCCTGCATGGTTTTCTAACCAAGCAGCAAACTAGATCAACACCACTACAACATGCAAAAGGGACATTCAGTGTGCCAGTCTGCTACCACCTGCATTTTTACACATATTTCCTCAAAGAAAGTACAAAACCAGCAAAGCTGCCTTTGTTAGAACCCCGTGTGCCTAGTTTAACAGGAACATCTCACCTGTTATTCCAATCACTCTGGTGAGCAACCACAGAGCAGAAACCAAGAGAAATATCCCAGTCAAACAAGTGGCAACCCTACTCTCATTAGGTGCCAGGCTGAACAAGAGTGCTTTTTCTCTGCAGACAGATGCCCCTGTCTTTGTAAGGAGAACACCACTGATGCCAATGATCCCAAATCTGCTTTTACAAAATGCCACACCCCTGTAAGCAACACTACACAGGACACGATGCTACAGGAACGTGCCACTCCTCAGTGCTTGTCTTTAACAAGAGGGTGGCAGTTCATAGTCTAAAATTCAGGGCACCTAAAGAAGTGTTTGGTGCTCTGGATTAGATGGCCACCAATGGCTGCAGCCTCATACCACCTGCACAGGTGGCACTTAGTGACAAACACTGACAAGTAGAAGCCAAAGGCACCTGTGCTGGCCAAAACAACCCATTCACAGCTAAGTGACAGGACTAAAAATAAAAGCACACAAAGCAGCTATTTAATTTCTTCTGTAGTGTAGCATTCTTAATACACAAAGACTCAGCACAGCAGACTTTATTTCCTCCCTTATGATCCTGTGTAATTAACAAAGCTTAATTTTGTTCATTAGCTGAATAAAAAAGTTAAGACCAGAACAGAATGCCAAGTTCTGAGGATGCATCATATACTCCAAAGAAATTAATTATCTTTCACTTTATCTAAACCACAGCTTTCTCAACAGAATATTGCCAAGGCTTACTGCAAGCAGGGAGAAACAGTCATTCCCATGGAGGTATTTTCAATATCAGTGCCTCATGGTTTACATTTTCCCTTGAAGAAATGTAAGCAAGTTTGACATGAGGAAGCAGGCTGATAAAAATAGCCAAACATACCACAGTTACATATACGTAATTCCTGGTTTCCCAATGGCACAGTGCTCAACTTCCCTTTTCACAGCATCTCACCATCACTCAAATTTATATTAAAAAACTTCAGTGTGAGCTACAGGTGTGTTAGAGCCAAGGCAGACTCCTAAAGGCAGCCTTCTCTCTACTTCTTACCACTGCACTGTCTGGTTTACCTTCAGAAATATCTCTACACAGTCTAGTCTCCAGAATCATCTCATTTTTCACTGTTGTTTCACATAGCTAACTCCCAAGGGTTTCTGACAGCCCCAACCTGTGGATGTGCCATCAACACTAATTTTGTTAGATGAACACAAGCACTCAGAACAGCAAAACAGAAGTTACAGCTTGTACACCATCATTTGCTAAAGATGCTCAATGACTTTAGTCAGTTTGTTCTTTAAAACAGATGCTTGTGATATATGCATTTAAGAGTGCGTGTTTATAAACAGCATCACCAAAGGAGAAGGAAAACACACCCAAAATACCAATCAGTGAGGGAAAATGGCCAAATAATGAAATGCTTCAACTGAAGCAAAGTCAATATCCCAGTTTAATATTTCTTAAACATCAGAACAACACAGCAAGCTGCAGCTTGAGAGTAAAATTATGACTGCCTACTCTTCTAAAGTTTAAGACTTAACATCAAGGAAAAAGAAATTACATGTTTATTTCTTGCCTCTTAGACTCTGTTGTGAAATAATGCAAATGCAAAAGAAGGTTGTGAAACCAAACTGGGACACGGAACAATCTAGATGAGTTGTGCTGCAATTCATCAGCCTTCAACTCTTTTGGATCTTGTGAAATCCAAGTCAAGAGTTGATATTTTCCAGGTTTACTTACTACCAAAAAAATTATCAGCTGTCCTTTCCTTTGACCCAGAATTAGATTTTGTTTTTTCCTTATATGTGTTAAGGACAGATGTTTTTTGTATCAAGCTGTTACTGTTAGAGATTTGAAGTTTACAAAGTGTTCTTGCAGTTTCTATAGCCTTCAATTCAACGCCTGTTCTCCAAAAAATCCTGTACTATTTAGAGGCTCATACACAAATACCTCTGACTTTAAGCCAACATAACCACCCTTCCAAATAAGGTTAGCCCTACATGTTTTACCCATTACTTATCCAAGTTAACCATTGTTAATCCATCATATCCTTTTGATTAACAATGACAACCAGTTTCTCTTCTTTGCATCCCACAGGGATGAGTTCCCCATCCTGCTGTTCTTCCTGAAAAGCATCTGCTCCTAGACCTGAAGAAGTCCATAATCTTCTAATTTGTATCACCTCTTTCTGTCCAAACCACCAGATTTTATCATCACCTTGGTCCAAGGGATTCAGAATTCACATTTGTCCCCTGGCCAGCCTTGTGCCATCAGCTGCTCCAAGCCACTCTGTCATTCACTTCCTCAGGATCACCCTTTGCTTCCTACAGCTTTGATGCCAAGAGCAAGGATCCCATCTCACATCCTGCTCCTCAGGCACCATCCTCACCTCATTCACTCTCCTATTTTCAGTTCCTAGGATTAAGAGCATAAATACACACAAGCAGCATGTGCTCAAAGAGTAGAGTTCTTTAGAGCAGAGACATTAATTTGATACCTTTTTTTTTGGATGTACATTTCTACTGCTGTATCATCAGTAAATGATCATTATTAGACTGACCAAATTTTAGCAGTTGTAGGAAACAAAGCATTTAACTGTACTGGGGGAGGAATGTTTAACCACAGGAAGTTCATTATTTATCTCTCACTATAAACATCCTCTGCTGGAACAACTTTCACTAGGGCCTACTCAGCTATTTGTTTTTTATGTCCACGTTTACAGCTCTCTGCTTGATTCAGAGGTTACAGCAATCTGAACATCCAATGTCAAGAACAGCTTTAATTCAACCTATTCACAGACAAAACTCTTCACAAGTGACCACAAAAGACAAGCCACAGCTATTAATAACAATATACACTCCCAGTGCCTTCAGGTGTGACTCTGGAAGGTCACCAGAACAGTTACCTCGGCTGCACCTCTGTCACCAGCTGTACAGTAGGCTGCACATGGACACAACTCCTCCTCAAAGACCTTGTACTGACAGGCTGAAAGAACTGGCTCTTCAAAGCCCTGTGACAGCTAAACCCAGGCACAGCTCAACAGATTTCTTCTTCTCAAGACAACAGTAGTTGCTACAACTTTTAGAAAATCACACTAAAAAAGGATAACACTGGTAAGTCCTTCCGTAGACAAACCTGCCGAGTCCTCAACTAGAAGTGTGTACAGTTCTGCTGATCCAGCTTCTAGAAGGATAAAGACTAAAGGTAGAGCAAAGGTCAGCAGCACAAAGCAAAAAATAAATTAAAAAAAAAAAAAAACACCAACCAAAAGAGGCTGAAAGAGTTCATCTTGTTTAGCCAAGAAACCCAGAACACAGAGTGACTTACTTCACTTTTCCAACTGCAAAACTACACTTGAGGAAAAGAAAACCACTTCTACCTTGAGCTGGTATTTTTGGAACAGTATCATCTGACACAGTTACCTGAAGCAGCAAAGAACTGGAACTGGTCAGCCCAACACAGCCCCAAGTCACCCATCTGGGCAGTCCATCCTGAGCTGCCACAGCACAGCTACAGCACCCACAGTCACACTGCCCCACCAAAACACAGAGGATGCATGGAAATCTTAGGGAAAAGGAGTCTGCAACACCCCTGCATGGGAAAAATTATGAAGTGTTCTCAGTTTGCTGACGCAAAATAGATGGTTTCATCAAGGAAGAGTAACTTCTGTTCATCTGCAGGCTGATTGTAATTCTTACATATCACAAATGACTGCAGATTTTTTACGAGTAGGCATGCAAAAGGATTAAAAAAAAAAAAAAAAAAGGGCAATCTCTTTTTGTAGCAAAAGGTTTTTTTCATTTATAAGGGGTCTTAGGAATTAAATTTACAGAGTCTTACCAGAAAGCCCACAGGCATGTGAAATGTTTTTTAATTTATACTCAAGTGAAACTAATTAATTCTGCCAAGAAGACAATGTACATCGTCAAATTACACATGACTCACATGCAATTTTGTTCTTGGGTTTGGGGGATTCTTTTGTAAAGCAGGATCTGTGTCAGAGCTATAACAGATATTAGTCTGTTTGGAAAAGAGATGCCACATTAAGGCTAAAACGAAGCAGTCTTCTTAGCATGTTTATAAAGCACTTATACACATTTTATAATTCTCTTCCTATTTCAGCATTCATCTCAAACTACCATGGTTCCGATGCTGCAGTTCCCACAGAAACACAATCCTGCCTGCTCGCCCAGCACACAACAAGAGAGTTAGGGGTGGTTTGGGGTTTTTTTGGGGGGAGGGGGTTTGGTTTTCTCTTTTAGCAAGGGCTGGACCAAAGCAAGAGCAGAGCGAGCCAAGGCTGCAGCCCATGGACTGCTGCCACACCGGCAGAGCCTCAGCTCTGTCAGCACAGCCTCTTTGCATGACAAATACAAACAATTCTACACGACAAAGCCCCTTTTGTCTGCAAAACTGCCGTGTACCGGACCTCAGTTACTCAAGTAAGGGGGCAAAATGAAAGGCAGAGGGGGAAAAAGCAACCTGTGAGGCAAAGTTTGTTAATGAACTATGGTTTACAAACGCCACAGACAAAGTCTCAGGAGGCTGATGACTTGGTTGGCTGCACCTCAAAATATGGGAAGTCATTAACTCACGAAACAGATGGGCTGATACAGCACTGGCTTTAAAGGAAAAAAAAACACAAAGGAACACAACAACCAAAACAAGAACACTGTGTCATTTTTAGGCCTCTCTCCAAGACGAATATACTGAACATAAACGCTCCCTGACACCAGAACGTCTAACAAATAAAAAACCCAAACACACCCGCAGAACACCAACAAAAGCAACCAGAAAACACATTCATCCCAGCTGAGCTCCCCTGCCTTCCGCTGGGCACCGAGCCAGCAGCTCCGGGGCTCGACCCTCCGGGGGGACCCGCGCCCGCCGCCCGCGCAGTGACCGGCCGGGGGCTCGGTCCGTGCCCGCCCCCGGGCCCGAGGGAGCCCTCACCGCCGCGCTGCGCGCTGTGCCCCGCGGGCAGCCCGTTGTCGTAGGGCTCCCACGTCTTCTGCAGCGGGTTCTGCGTGAGCTCCCGCGCCGCCGGAGCCGCCGGAGCCGCCGCCATCCTCGGCCGCTCCCGGCTCCCACCGCAGCGGGGCGGGCGGGCCGCGCCGGGGCCGCCCCCGGGGCAGGGCCGGCGGAGGGAGGCCGCAGCCCCGCCGAGCCCCGGCACCGGCCCGGGCGAGGGTCGTGCTGCGAGCGGCTGACTCCGCTCCGTGCAACAGCACGCTGCTGCTGAAAAGCCTTAAAAAAAAAAAAACAAACCACACAACCAACCCAAAATCTAAATATAGAACGCCCAGGGAGCGTGCAGTGTGTTTTAAGTCGTGCATTGAGTAAGACATTTTTCCAATTAAATTCTGTTTTGGCCTAAAGGCTAAATTAATAGCAATGCAGAAAAACATAAACAAACCATAGGTTTCCTACATCCTATTTGGCTCCCCGCAAAAAAAAAGCTGTTAACAAATGGCCCTGGGAAGCTGCGGTGGTTTGACTAAACACAACACCCGGCTGTCGCCTTTCCACATCACCTTTATCAGCTTGACAGCTTGGGGAAACCCACCTCATTAACTAGCCTGAGCAAAGCCTAAAAAAGCTCAATATTTCACATATGTACACCTCTCCATATATTTTACAGAAAATAAATGCAACACAGTGAAAATACAGTAAAGTGGAATACACACTTTCATTATTAATCACTCCAGTATTATGACACTGGCCTAAACACAAGTGAAGCTCGGTACATACTTTCTTTTTTAATATTAACCAGGCTCTGATGACCTGAGGATTATTTTTAGTCTTTCTGTTGTACTACAAGCTAAAATGTACCTTTCTAAACAACAAAAAAAATCAGTTCTCAGACACGTGGCAAGATACCTCTCAGAGGGTCAGTATTGTTTTTCCAGAACCATGTTTGCTTGACTTGTTTTCCCACTGTTCCGTTTCCTTCTCTCCAAGACCAATGACAGTTTTCCTCTGTAGGTGCCCTACACTATATTTTCATCCAAGATTTTCTTCATGATTTTGTTTTGGGTCAATAGCTGACTTGGGAAGGGGCAGAGGGACTACAAGCGTTTCATTGCAAGGGTCAGAAAACTAGGAGCAGAGGGAGGGAAGTTTTGAATTCTTGAAAGCTTCTTGGTTTCTTCTGTCAACTGTGTTTACTTCCAACAGTTGCCCAAAGAGCTGTGAGCAGGAACAACTCAAGCTGTGTCCCAGGTTTGTCCCAGAAGCCTGTCTCCTATGCACACATGGAATGCTGCAACACACAGGACACAGACTCCAGAGTAGAGTGCAGCACCAGGACGTCCCCACCTCGCCCTCCTGTGATCACATCAAGGCCAACACCAAGATGCTCCAGCTTTGCTAACAATGCCTCCAGTAAAGCCAGGAGAGCCCACCACAGATGTGATATTAACAGAAACAACAGATGAATAGGAAGGCATTTATAAACCACACTTCTCAGGTTTGCTTTACATACATTAAGTAGAAAACCGACTAAATCCTTCCAGCCTGTAGAAACAAAGTTTGTACTTCCTTTCTGCAAATCCACACCCTGCACAAGAACTGGAAGCCCGGTCACACCACTACCTCGTGCCAAGAACACTGACCTGATGTTATTCATATAAGAATAGCATTTTTCAGAAGCCTGTGCGGTGAATGGCCACATTTCTAATTCTCATCCTCAAAGCACCAGGCACAGGTCCAGTTAATTAATTCCTTTCTGCTCAGGCAGATTCAAACCAGTGGCACCTGCACAAAACTTCAGCTAAGGGTTTGTCCAGGTGTCTCTAATAACATCAGAGGTGTTCAGAGACACCTGCTAGCCTTTATTTTTGTGAGGCACAGAGTTCAGCTTGGTTGACAACAAGCTTATGCAATTATGTTGTGTTCTAGGGTTAGTTGATTTGTGGTTTGTTTTTAAAACTCAGTGCAGTAATGAGGTATTTGATCAAGGACACAGAGAAAGCAAATACAGGTATCTTGTACTACTCCTGAGGTCTCCTTTCAAAACATGGTTTACAAGGGCACTACATTCACTTACTGGGAAAAGACAGAACAAGTGTTGCCTGTTAGAGTCTCAATAAATGACAGAGATCACCTGCTGCACAATCTCATTGTCATCAGCGGCTGCCTTAATGCAAAGGCTGGAGGAGCAGAGCTGATGCCTGCAGGTGAAGAGCTTTGTTTGCTACAGGGAAACCATGAACAAGCCTTTAGTCCCGGGAAGGCTTCTACAGTCTGAGCATCTGCTCTCAGGGCCATGGTGGGCAGAGAGCTTACCTGAGAAACCACCTCTGTCCAGGGGCAAAACATAAGGAGAAGGGCAGTCCTGGAAACTGAGCTGCAGCATGGAAATAACGTGCTTGAGCCAAGTGACAAAGTTACACTCACTCTCTGGAAACAACTGACTGACAAGACAGGAAATGTAGGGTTTTAATGCCTACAGCAAATGGTAATTATTTTGAGAAAGGGAGAAATAAAAGAAACTGAACCAAGGTTTCAGCTTGATCCTACAGAAACCCAACTTGTATCTGTGAACACGCTGTATCATATGGCAGCCACATAACCCAAGTTTCACCGTATGTGCGAGTAACTTCCACATACCTCATTTCCCAAGTAAATGTATCACTTTTTAGCCTGATAGCTCATAAAACATCCATAAACCACTCATCATCTCTTCCTCCTGTCCTTCCACCATCTCCCTGGCAGCACACACTCGCTCCGTGGAACTGGGAAAGATGCCCTCCTCAGCACCCGAGCACACACAGCTCATCCTGAGCAGCACAGGGGATCCGGGCCAGAGCTGAGAGCCGGGAGGGATCTGCGGCACGACAACGAGACACAGCCAGCGGGGAGTAGAGGGGCTCCGGAGCGTTCGGGCAGCTCTCCCGCTCCGCCCGGAGACATCCCGGGGCCGCCGGAGACATCCCGGGCCGCCCTCAGGGTGCTGGCACCGCCAGCGCCGCCAGGCGGCGCCCTGGCCCCTCCGCGGGCACTGCGCAGGCGCCCCCTGGCGGCGGCGGCGGGCAAAGGCACCGCCCCCGACAGAGCGGGGACGGACGGATGGACGGACACACGGCCGCGGGGAGGGACGGACACACGGCCGCGGGGAGGGACGGACACACGGCCGCGGGGAGGGACGGACACACGGCCGCGGGGAGGGACGGACGGACGGACGGACACACGGCCGCGGGGAGGGACGGACGGACGGACACACGGCCGCGGGGAGGGACGGACACACGGCCGCGGGGACGGACGGACGGACGGCCGCGGGGACGGACGGACGGACGGACACACGGCCGCGGGGAGGGAGGGACGGACGGACACACGGCCGCGGGGACGGAGGGACGGACGGACACACGGCCGCGGGGACGGAGGGACGGACGGACACACGGCCGCGGGGAGGGACGGACGGACGGACGGACACACGGCCGCGGGGAGGGACGGACGGACGGACGGACACACGGACACAGCGCTGGCCATCCCTGTGCCTCGAGCTGCTCCAAGCCCGGCGAGCCGCCCGTGCCCAAAGAGCTCTCCTGGAAAAATGAATTCCCTGTCACCCTTCCCAAAGGCACTGTCGCAGCCCAGTGACACCGGGATCGCCGTGCCAGGAGACAGCAAAGCTCCACAGAACTCAAATACAGCAGGACCTGGGTTCTGAGCTTCTACTCTGTGGTAGAGTCAGAGTCTACAGGCAGCTGCTGGGAAGAAAAGCACATCTACCAGCCCTGAGTTATTTCTTAACCCAAATGAAAAAAAATACTGAGAGGTGTGAGTCCACACTCAGAACTAAATACCCACATTTCTTTATAGACATTAAACACCAAGAAATTATATTTCATCATTTATCTATTACTTCAATTTCTCTAAAGTAATTCTCCTTCCAATAAGTCATGGGATATACTTTGCAATCCCACATTCTCAGCTACGTACTTGGACAAAACCCACAGTCCCTGACCTCTACGCACACAGCTGGCAATAATCAGCTGGGGGAACCTACATCCAAACCCTCTCTATTGCAAGTGGCAGGTTACTGCTCCAGCTCAAAGTGACAAACAGCAACTAGCTTAAATTATCCCATCTTAAGACTAGCATCTGCATTTTCTACATCTGGCAATAGTGAGAGGGGAACAGATCAGAGTTTAAGTTCTTATCCCCATTTAAGAAGGCACAAAGACAGTGCTGAGGCTACCCACTTACAAGTACACAAAAATTTGACATCACTGGTTTTGTTTCAGCACAAATTTAGGAGACACAAAGGAGCACAGACCCTGCAATAATCATTACATATGGCTGTTATTCAAGAAGTAGACACACACCAGCACAGCCTTCAACCACACATACATCTTACATATCCAGCTTTGACACCCACCCAAAGCTCCCCAGTTTCTCATGGATAGGCTGGCTCTGACCAGCTAACAGGCAGCCTGCTACACTGAATCACAGCGTTTGTAGAAAGGAGACAGGATAATTCCTGTTGAACTTGTAATTTATTTTCTCTTTCAATGAAAAAAAATATTAAAAAAACCCCAAAAAAAATTTCAAATGTACCTTCAGCAGGCTGGTGGCAGTCCTTCATTGGCCAAAATCCATGCAGCTGGAAGCATCACCTGAGGACAGCAGCTATATAATTTATACCAGGCTGTTACCACACTGCAAGCCAATGAGAGGAGTCAGTGCCCACACACACAACTATGCTTCACCCTTTCTGTTCACAAGTATCAACAGTCCAGCATTTCAAAACTGGGTTTCACGTGCAATGTGAGAGATTTCTCCCCACTCAGCTGATGTGAGGCACATTGCTGATGGGCTTTTTGACCAAGTATTTGTTGGGGTGCTCTTATATGGCAAAAAGGCTTGTAAATGCACCCAGTTTCTGCTATAATGACCAAACCTACTGCAGAGCAGCTGGGACACTTGGCTTGTTCTGTCACATCCCTTGTTACACGAAGACCTCAGCAGGGAACAGACTGCTCTCTCCTCCAGGTAATTCCCATACTCCCAAAGTGCAGATCAAGCCTGGCAGGTTCTTCCTCCCTGTGCAAGAGAAGTGCCTAACAAGCTGCCTAGAACACAATGCCCTTCTGCTCAGTATGTTGTGACCTCTGCA